ACCGTGTGCATGCTTTGGAGGGCCAAGTCCAGCAGTTGCTCTCGAAACAGCAAGGTCTGGAGAACCAGTTTCACGAACATAGCACGGAACATTCCCAGCAAATTCATGCTTTGCAAGGGCAGGTTGCCGCCCAGACGCAACAACTGCATGGGCACCTCGAAAATCAAAACCAAACGATTCAATCTCTTTTTGAACAGCAGATGCAGCGGATCCGTGGGTTGCTTTCGAAGAGGCCCCGTGATGAAGGTATGGAATGACAAATTGGCTTGGGGCTTGCAGTTGCCCTTTGTTGGCTTGGTCTCACTGGCTTTGCCACCTTTTGTTTGCAAGCCCTGGGCCTGATTCTTTGGGTAGCGTGTTGGGGTTTGGCTGTGTGCCGCTTTACATCCATTCGATGGCCCCTTTCAGGTTTTTGGCCTTACATTGTGACGTGTTTCCTTTGCTGTCGCATAGGTGAGGCTGCCAATCCAGGGCCGGGGTGCCCTAATTTTGCCATTGGCGTTTTCAATCCTTCCGGATTGCGGGGAAAAGCGCCTTATATTGTTTCACAACTTAGTTTTGGCGACATTTGGGCCATTTCTGAAACTCATTTGTGTAGCCATACGTTTGCCCAGTTTCGCTCCGGATTGCGCTTTGCCAGGAGCCCGTTTCAAAGCTGCGTGGGTGGCCATCCGGTCCCTGCCCAAAACAATCGTGTGTTTCATGCGTCTTCGAAGGGGGTTGCAGTGTTGTCCAAACACCCCACTCGTGCTGTGCCGACTGATTTGCCGCCTGAGATGTTGCAGTCTTCCCGTGCAGTTGTCACAACCACCCTTTTGCAAGATGTGTGGGTTACAGGTGGAACTGTCTATGGTGAACCTGACAGTAGCTTTTACCCTCATCAGAAAATGAATAATGCGGCTCTCCTCCATAGTGTTGCCAACCATGTGTGTTATCTTGCCAGAGGCCCCAGGTTCATTGCTGGTGATTGGAACGTTGAACGGCATTCGCTACCAGTTTTCACTCAGCTTGAGGCTGCCGGGTTCCGGGATCTACAGGATATAGCACACCAACATTGTGGTAGACCTTTTTCGGTTTCTTGTAAGGGTGCTACACGGAAAGATTTTTGCTATGTCTCACCTGAACTCCAACAGTTGCTGGTTGCTGTCCATGTTTCACAGGACATTTTTCCGGATCATGTTTCACTGACTGGTGGCAACACTGTGAGTCTCGTACGTTGGGATCCCCTGACATGATTCCGTTTTGTCCGCCTAGTGCCACGGTAGCTCTTGCAATTTCTGACACCATGTTGGTAGCATTGCGCAAGTTTGAGAGTGAGCTTCAGGCTTCCTCCCGCCTGTATGCCAAACTGCGGAGAGAAAGTGACCCCAATGCCATTTTTCGGGGTCTCCAAACCTTTCAACCTAACGGTGTTGATGCTTTGTTGCGGCAGATTCCTGCTCACATTGTTGAAGTTCGCCATGAAGACATGTCCGTTGTGTTGGATAAACCTATCCAATTTGCTGGCGACCAACCCATAGTTTGTAATGGGGCTGAGTTGCCGGTTGTCCATGCTGATCATGATTGTCTGTGGTTAGAGACTGTTGAAGGCCTACAGCTTGGTAGCCCAGTGACTCAACTTTCGCAGGTTGGTACATTTGCATGAGCTGTCCCATATGTTCTTGAGCACATGGAAAGGGATGTGGGAGCGCCACCGTGACGTCCCCCAGGATCGGTGGAATACCATTTTGGACTTTGCACGGCGTTTTCGGCCCCAGACTTCCCTGCACTGGCCTTCCATGGACGTAGGTACCCTTTCAGACTGCATTGCCCATAGATCAGCCTCCACCTCAGGGGGGCTTGATGGTGTTACCATTGCTGACCTGAAAGCTATGCCAAGCGGGGCTTTGCACAATTTCCTTTGCATGTTTCAGCAGGCTGAACTCACTGGTCAATGGCCTCAGCAAGTTGTTGCAGGACGAGTGTCACGTCTTGCAAAGACCGCTTGCCCTGAAAAGGTGTTGGATTTCCGTCCCATTACGGTGCTTGGTATCCTGTATAGATGTTGGGGAACGTTCCATGCCAAACATGCCATCCGGTCTTTGGAAAAGTCTCTTCCTCTTGGTCTCTATGGGAGTCGCCCCCACCGTTATGCCGGGCAAGTTTGGTCTCACATTCTTTGGTCCATTGAAACAAGGAATTTCCCTCTGTGGCCTCATAGTCGACATCCAGAAAGCCTTTAACTTTTTGCCCAGGGTTGTGGTTATGGAAAGTTGCGCTCTGCTTGGCATTCCGTTTGGTGTAATTCGTGGATGGGCTGGTGCACTTTCAGCTATGGCTCGGAGGTTCCTCCTCAATGTGGTAGTCTCACTGCACCGGCATTTAGCAACTGTGGCCTGCCTGAAGGTTGTGCTTTGTCATGTGTTGGCATGATGGTGGTCGACATCCTTTTTCATATGTGGATGACGCATTTCTTTCCTTTGTGTCAACCCTTGTCTTATGTCGATGACTGGCAAGTGCTTCTCACAAATCCTGCACTAATGGGTTCAGTGTTTCAGTGTGTTGAAAATTTCACAGGGTCTCTGGATCTGCTCCTGGATCAGCGGAAGAAGATTACATGGTCGGTCTGCCGTGATGGTCGGCAATCTCTCCGTGCCCAGGATTTACATCTGGTGTCGAACTGCCGTAATTTGGGTGCTCATGTCCAGCGTACCCGACAGCACACTAATGCATCGTTGATGGAGAGAGTTGTGGGAATCGCTCCGATGTGGACCAAATTGCGCTTGTCTGCTAGTGGCTATGCTCAGAAAACACGTGCCATCAGATGCTCGGCATGGCCCCGGGCGTTGCATGGTGTCGCTGCTGTCACTTTGAGCTCCCAAACGTTTGCCACCTTGAGGTCTGGTGCAATGAAAGGATTGAGGGCGGAAGCTTCCGGGGCTAACCCCATGGTGCAGTTGGGCCTCATTGAAGCCCTTGACCTTGATCCGCTTGGCTGGATCATTTTGCAGACTTTTCGTTTGACCAGAGATTGTGGCACGCCCGACAGGGTTGAACAGGTTCTTGCTGACATTGTTGCAGGTGAGACCGCTGTCCCGCCTAATAGTATCACACATACCTTGTGTACTAGGATTCAAACATTGGGCTGGCACATTGATGGGCGGGGTTGCATTCATGACATGTTGTGCCCCTTTTCACTGTTTGGAATTTCGTTTGCAGAGTTGCTATATAGGGTTGCATTGCAATGGCCACACTTTGTTGCCTCTCATACAGCCCATCGGCAGTGTTTCCAGGGTCTTGCTGAATCTGACCCCTTGGACACAAGGGTTTGGTTGAATAAGTTAGATGTAGCGGACCAGGCACTGTTTCGCAAGGTGCTCAATGGCACACATATTACCCAAGATGGAAAGGTACATTGTCAAGAAGCGTCGTCCGACATTTGCCCATTCTGCCAATGCACTGACAGCAGGTATCACAGCCTAGGCTCCTTGCTGCCATCCGGGATTTGCCCGAATCCCTCATTTGTGCAGGGTGGTCCTCAGCACCCACGACTGCGGTTGAATGGAATCAGTATTTTTCGCATTTGTCAGTTTCACCTGTGCCGGAAATTGCATTTTGCGAGGATGTTCACTTATTCACAGATGGCTGTTGTTTTGATCAACACTCAAGTGCCACCCGAATGGCCGGGTGGGCGGTGGTTCAAGCATCTTGTGCCAGTGTTTTTGATTCCAAGCATAGCCGTGCGCTCGATTGGGGAGTCCTGCCAGGTCTCCTTCAGAGCGCTGTCCGGGCTGAGGTTTACGCCATTTGGAGAGCACTGCAATTGGTTAGTCACTACTCCGGGAGAGTGTTTTTGTGGACTGATTGTGAGGCGGTTGTCAAAAAGTTTCGACGTTTACTTCATGGAGGAACTGTTCGGGCCAACAGCGCCACGCTGATTTGTGGAGTGCTATTCAACAATGCATTCGTTCTAGGCAGGGCTCAACGATCATCACGCGTGTGGCGGCCCATCAAAATGAAGAGGTCGCGCCTTCGGTTTTTGCTGCTTGGTGTTTTCGACACAATGGTTTGGCAGATGCTTGGGCTGTTTTTGCCAACTTTGACCGCCCCAACCTTTTTTGGGACTTGCGTAGCCGACATCACACAGCTCTGGAAGGTATCACACAGATCAATAGGGTAGCAGGTTCTTCTTCGGATCAGTCAGGAAGTTGTTCGACATGACACACCTGCCACACTTGAGTTGCCTGCCCATGTTGCATCTGTGATTCCGTTTGCAAGCTGCAGTTTCCCCTTCCACCTTTAACCATCCCGTGTGGGGCTGTCAGGTGGTACGGAGATGCTTTGGTTCGCATTGTTTCCAGTTGGTTTTGGCAGACGTTACATGACAGCTCAGAGTGTCTCAAGTGGGTCTCCCACTTCCAATTGTATGTTGATTTCCAGCTTGCCACAGGCCACCCGGGCCCCATTCATTGCGGTCAGTGGAGAGACGGTAGTCTCATGCCCTGGTTGTCACTGCAAGGCTATGGCTTCAAGCAGCGCGTACGGTGGTTCACCAAAATCCTCAAGGAAATCCTCAGGCATCAAGGGATTCGCATTCAGATGGGCTATGGCTTGCCTTTGTCGCATGTGTTGGGTCTTCACACTGGTATGTTGGCCGTCCCGTGGCCTAAGTTTCACTTGGATATGGTCGACCAGTGGCTGCTGCAGGCTGGTGGTGGAACAACATTTCGGCGGGGCTCGAAAGCGCTGGAGTGGTTGCCCTTTGCCTCCCGGGATGATGCACTTCCAGGGATCTGTCTCACTTCACTCAGTTTCTAGTGTACCCAAGACGGGTCACGTCATTGGCAACGTGACGCGCACAGCAAACTGGGACAAACTGGTGGTTTCAAACATGTTTTTTCCATATATTGGGAATAATCATCCCAACTGCCTTTCATATTTTTCAGAGGGGTAGGTATACCACCGACCAGGTACTAATATTCTTCTGGGCTAGCCCAGCTGGTATCTCCAGCTGGTCACAGGTCCAGCTTCGTGCCCGAAGAACCGGATGAGTTGGATGACATCGCAGACATGTGGAGGCTGGGCGGTGCTGGGGACGTTGGCGCGACGACTTAAGATACCAAGAATGATGTTTAATTAACTAGCATAGTTTAGGGAGCTACAATATAATGATTAATTCTCTAGGTATATATATATATTATAATATGTAATTATGTAATATATAATATACAATATATAGTGTATAATATATAATATATAATGTTTAAAATATAGCATATAACATATAATATATGATATATATATACACATGATGTTCTGCGATAGTTCATAAATCAGCTTAAGGTCAGTAAGTGCTTCTCCTAGTGATTCAGCTCTTCCATGCCTTCCCCCAAAACAGCGCAACCAGGTACTACGCTTTCGTGGCTGAAAAGCAGGTGCAGACTCGTACCCGCAGCTTGGCGATTTGGCAAAGATGATGCCAACGAAGATGAGGAGATGAAGTCATTATATGATTTTTATCGGGATTTCAATGGATTTCATAGGGAAATGGAATATTTAGATGGGGATTTTTAATGGGTTTTTGCGGCTGGGGGGAAATGGGATATTTAGATGGGATACTTAAGGATGGATATCGGATGTGAATTGGAACAACTCCTAAGACAAAGTTGAAAATGGTTGTTTCGGCAAACACGAGGGATACTGGGAGAGGAGCAAAGCGCGGATGAAATGGGATGTCGTCGCATGCATAACCAGCATTAACCAGCAATATGAATGATTGGTGTTTCTCAAGATCAAAATGCATAGTTTTACGATCATCAAATCATTGGGAAAGTGATGGTAAGCCATCAAATTTACAGGCACCTTCTATATAGACACACCCATTTAGAGGATTCTTAGGGAGAGAAAGAGCAAAAAATGGGCCGCAACTCGGTTTTTGCAATTTTGCTGATCGATTATAGGGATTACCCACCAAGAAAACGATTGGCAACAAAAACAGGTAATTACTCCTCAATGAAACTACCAGGGGTCAATATTCATCCTGGGGTTATGTCAGCCAACATTGAAATGTATTGTTGGAGTGTTTTAGATGCTTAATCCCGATAATATTCACAACTGCAGTATATTACATGTGCACCAGTATATATCTAGATATCAGGCATCTTAAATAAATATAATATGATATAATGATATATGAGAACTATTGCATATATATATACATATATATATATATACATATGCATGTATGTATGTATGCACGTCAACACTCAGGTCTTGTCTTGAAACAGCACCACACACTGTGTAGCGAGAGCCCCCCTTTTAAAGTGATACCTATAATTTTGCAGAATGTCCAGATCTTTATTTTATTTTTTTTCACAAAGTTACGTACATGAGAACAAATCAACGATACCCTTCGCTCCAGCGATTTTTTAAGCGATGCTCATTTGTTTAAAAAGTAGCCCTAGACCCAGACGACCCTTTCTGCTTTTCCTTCCTGTTCCTTTCCTCTTCCGTTTGTTTTGCTGTTCTCTTCTGTTCCTCTTCTTTTCCTCACGCAGATTTGTTCCTCTGCCTTTATAAGTACACAAGCATGTGTAGCGATAGGTCCCGCCAAAAGTGATAGACACCTTTTTGGGAGCAAGGCGAAGACAACGAGCTTCGCCAACGGCTCATATGTATATGTATATGTTACATACTACACATCATTGGTTCATAATGATTATAGTTATATATAAAATATATATTACATATATTACATATAACTGGTCATTACATACATATCATACAAGGTGGTGCCCCCCGCAGTTATAAATTGGTTATAATCCCATTAACTAGTTTGATATCTCACCTATAAACCATAGTGAAATTGGACTTATAAACCAACTTAGCAAACGAACTGGGGCACCACCTTGTACTCGTAGTGTTGATGAGTGTTAAGTCCAAACTATGTTTATTGATATTTCATATAGTGTTATACCACAACTGGTTATTCATATTCATTTTAATACTTATAACACTATTGATATTCATTAATGCCACTTATAACTGGTTATTTCATCAATCCATCTATTCATGTTATTAGTAGCGATTATATATCACTATTACTATTACTATATATTGCACTATATTACAGTGTACATATATATATGTATTAAACATACACTATTATATACATAATCATATATATATACACTTACTATAATACACTAAATCTATATTATATACTATATTTATATATAGCTATGTTACATATCATATCGTGTTCAGTGTTCAGTTTTAGGCCGAATGGTGGAAGAGGCCACCGTGGCGGACGATCAGAAAGTGCAAGTGCCCACACGCAGGCGCTGAACCACGGGCTTCGCGAAGGACACCAGCCAAGGGTTGAGGATTTATAGCCAATCTATGGAGGTTATAGGGGTTTTTATAGCGGTTTTATGGGTTTTTTTTAATAGGGTTAAGATATAGAGTTGATGGCTGGTTAACAAAAGTTTTAATAGGCTTGAATGCGAGTTTATAGAGGTTTTATGGATTTTAATAGGGTTATATAACATATAGAGTTTATTGGGGTTTCATGGGTGTATATAATGCGGGTTTTTCATAGAAGATAGATGCTTTCCTCAAAATATCTCGTGATTCTTTGGCACATTTTGGCAGACAATCCGCCAAGATGGGAATCTTTTCAGGTTGATGGAGAATAGCATAGACCCCTCACTGGAATCATGGTTTATTTTAGGGAAATCATCCCCAAATGGCCGCAAGATTCAGGTTAGTGAAATATGATCATTTACCCAGAATATTGGATGCTTTGCTACTGAAATCATGTGCTGAATGTGCTGGGCTGACCCTCGTCACTTAACTCTTGCTATCGTGGAGAATCATTAGCACCGTCCTGTTACATGTTTAAGGAACGGCACCACTTAATGCTTTTGACTTTTGACTTGTAACATGCTTCCTGTGTAGTATGTAGTTCCAGAGTATGTAGTCCCAAGTTTGACTCCTCCAGAGATATCCCATCATATATGAGAATCGAATCATAACTCTGGCGGCAAGTAAAGCAATCTGGGTGTGTTTGAACACTGTGGATACCCCAAAATGGCAATTTAAATAGGGAATACCCTCTGGTTATTTAACATAGCCATGGAAAATGGCGCATTTATGGATGGTTTACCTATTCAAAATTGTGATTTTCCATAGTTTTTTGTATGTTTACCAGAGGGTAGTAATAGGGATAAATTATACTCAGTCATGGGACTTTAGGGTACCCTATTTTCAGAGAACTCCAGCTGTGAGGAGATGATGTCGAAAGCAAGAATTTTGGGGGAACGACCCATGGCTTTCCAGATGTTCCAAAGCAAATCAATCCTAACACATACGATGGGTACCCTTTGGTAAACTAACATAGCTATGGAAAATCACAATTCTTAATGGACAAATCAACTATAAATGGCCATTTTCAATAGCAAACTGTTGAATTACCAGAGGGTACGATGGGTAAGTCTCCGTAGCCCATTCTGTTTGGTCAAAATACCCAGATCCACCACGCACCATGCAGCGCATGCGTGGCGTGGCAGGTCGCGCATTCAGGGAACTCAGCTGCTACAGAACGCCATGCTGCAGCTCCTTGGGCAATGCTATGACCTAAAACCCAGGGAAACACCGCGGGATCTCAGCCATTCTAAACCCCGGTTGGTTGATGATTAGTTCGTCATTTAACAGGGGTTTTAAGCATCAAAATATAGGTCCATAAGTAGATGTACATGATAAATGATAAATGGATATAACTGGTAATTCGGCAATTGTCAAAACATGGTCAACCATGGTGATTTAATGGGATTAACAAAACCAACAGATTTAGTGGGATATATAACCAACTAATATTGGATGAAATCCTTCAAAACCCCTGTTGGTTGATGATTTTTATTATATGGGATTGTACTACCCAATATATATCTTGGGGATTATCATAATCCCCATTCTTGGTCAAAACTTTGATTTTATTCCCACAAAATGGGATGCTCATCGGTCCATTCGTAGTATATACTCATTTATTCAGGATTCCCATGGCATGGGATGGATGACCATACAGCATATACCGTGTTATTTGACCCCAGCACATTTAAGGGGGCGTCCCAGTTGTAAGTTGGTCTATAAACCATTATAACTAATCATAACTCCCATTAACTATATAGTTAAATATACCTACCATAAACATAGTTAAGCCACTGATAAGGCAACTGAACGCTATCGACTGGGGCCCCCATCCTGTAGCACATTTAAGATGATTTTGTTGTCCCGCGTTGAAAAAGAACTGCTCAAATTTACCAGGAAAACCATGACTGTTGGGTCACTGCTGTTGGTTTCCTCTTGGAGGAGCATTCCTCTTTTCATGCTGGTGCTTGGTAGTTGGGGTTAGTTCACTCACTCAATGGGTTGGTTCTCTACTCGGGGGACTGAAAAAAATCACCAGTTGGCTGCTCACCAGTCACTAATTTGGATGATCCTCCAAGCAAGGTATGTATCCTATACGGTTTTCGATACGATCGAGAAAGGTACGATCCACGGGACACGGCGGTTGTCGAAGGGAACGACAGTTTTGTCTTAGACTGTCATATCGCAAGAGTAAATGCCATGACAACATTGGCAGTATATTAATTGGAGTCATCCTCCAATCGCCAAATTTTGGTTTTGAGTATCTTTGAATATCTTTGAGTATCTTTGAGTTATTTTGGTCAGTGTGCCTTTGGGTTGTAGATGCATTGACTATGGTTCCAGCACCGGAATCTTATGGGATCTTGACATCTCTCTTAACGGACTAACCCACATGTCCACGGCACATGTCCACACTGTTTGTCATGGTACATGAATAAGATGAATAAGTATAATATTTACCGACACACACACACACACACTACTTTTATAATACATATGATTACATATGTATGTCAAGTATATTCTATGAATCTATTGCACCTATATGTTAAACGTTGCATTGGTGCTTTGGGATTATTTCTCCAATCCATATAGTATTTAAAAAGGAACCATGATGTGCTAGGGATAGAAGTGGTCATTGTGCTTGGGATAGAAGTGGTCATTAGGAACCATGAGACCAACTGTGATGGATTAAGATTAAGAAGCGACTTATAGGCAAACTTACGGGTTCCATTAGATACTAAATTCCATCCTTGGTTGAAGGGACACTTTTCCATGAACCCTGATATTTGGCACTAAAACCCATGGCTTTTCTGTAGATTTTCCCAGCAAAACCAACCTCCCATCATTTCAAACGCTGCTCCCATGCATTTTGTGCTCAAGCGGTCACCACCGCAACACGTCATGGACGCTGAGCCATGGTGAAATGCTATGTGTGTCGCTACGTCGAGGCATGGACGAAGGTTCTGAACATGAAAGGTGCTGCCACTTCTTTTGCAAAGTTGGTTGATAAGTAGCTTAGGGTTTCCGGTAATGTCGACAAAACAATAATAACGCATCCCCCAAATCACCATAAATAGGTGGTATAAACCGTTTCCAAATGGATGGTTTATGGCATTGTTTTACCCACATTAGATGTAATTATTTTTGATTGTAAAGCAACCTATAATGGGACGCCTTCTGTCTACATGCTTACCCCTTTCCGGTCTAGCAAATTAGATACCTCCTTACAACGCGGGGTTAGTATTGAATCTATACATGTCCGGTCTTATTGTCTGAACTGTGGGAGCCGAAGCAACGTGGTGCGAAACTGGTCCTTTTTTAGGTCTTTTCAGTGCCAAAAAAGTGCTTTTCTGCAGTGCTATTGAATGCCCCCCCCAGGTCTTGAACATGTTCAAATACGAGATCCAAAAAATCATTTATTTTTTTGCAAACCCCATGGCCCATGGCCTGATCATTGCGCACAAAAAACACAGAGGGGACTCATCCAGATGATGGCAATCCCACAGGACCCACATTGACCTTGGATGAATCCTCCACAGGCATTTCACTTTTGACCGATTTGACCGGACATTTTTCACAGGCATCCTTGCAAATTTCATCAACTGATTTTACAACTCATATGAGTTGTGTAAATTCAAAAGAATTCAAAACATCTCTGGCATTCATCACTGCATTCATCACCAAAAAAACTAGAGTGATTGAAAGATATTGCCAGATACAGTGGTGATTTAACATCGAAAAACCTAAGATCTCTCGACCAGTGGTCCCTTTCGAATTCTTCCGCAAGGTGGAGAAGAAGCTCGGCGAGTGGAGATCCGCTTGCGACGCCTGGCCGAAGATTGTCAACGTCTCACTAAACACAGCAGCCCTAAATTAGCTTAGGTGATTGTAGTCATTTAATATGGGTTATTAAGTATCAAATAGCTACAATCACCATTAATAAGTATCAAAAAGCTTCGGTTATATCAAGTTAATATCAAATATGGAGATACAAGTGGAATCAAGAATGAATCGAGTAAACATATAACTTGATAAATCCATTTCGGACATTTACCAGGACACATCTGAGTAGAACTGATGATGGTTGATGTTTGTTTTTGGTGTAATATATACTGCCCTTTATGTATTGGGATCACCATCATCATCATCATCTTCTTCTTCATCTTCATATCCATCATCATCATCATCATCATCATCATCATCATCATCATCATCATCCATGAACTAGCAGAGGAGTTTTGAAGGCCGCTCATCTTTTCACTGGCGATCAGTGCAACACCTGGGATGAAAGATCTATCCAACCAGCTAGATCACAGTAGTCATCCAACGTAATATCATTTACATTCATGTTGCATTCCCATGTTTTTCTTGTTTGAAAAAGACAAAAAGATACACACATATACAAAAATGCACGTTTTATCCCTTGGTTTCCTCAAACATGACCAATCTGGGGAAGTTTGACCTTTCAACATCCTTTAAAGTGCTGCTTTCGGCATTGATTTTTTGCCACTTTTGGAGGATTTTAAGGTTCCCATTGGTTTGGAACCCTCCCATATGTTGCTTCGTTTCGGCCACGGTTTTCCCAGGATCGCTGCGCTGAGCTGCTGAAATCACCACCCTGCAAGGCATGTGGACAACCTGTGCCTGGTGACGACTGGGGATGACTGGGGACTGGAACTCTTCCGGAGATGTCGGAACGAAACCATGGGAAACTATGATAAGATATGGGGGTTTCACGGGGTGTACCCCAAAATGGACGGTTTATAAGGGAAAAAACCTATATTGAGATTAAGATGGATGATTTAGGGGTACCCCCAGTTTTATGGAAACCCCAGTATGGGAAATCCTCGAACTAGCCATGGAAGTTTATAGTTGGGACAATCAAGGAACTAAACTAAATGGGTGATTTTCAATTGACATGAACACATAGTTACATATATATATATATACCCTGTGCTTCCAAAGTATATTAAAACAACGTGCTTTCATCTAAAGAAGGTTTCACGCATTTCCGAAACCTACTTTCGTCACTCCCTCCCATTCACGCTTCCCCCTTCCATTTTTCTGCCCCGAGTTGTAGTTGGCCATCCAACATAGTTCAGCTTCTCCTTTCCAATCGCGTCCTTGGCCAAGAAGGAATTTGACCACCATTTCATGTCCAAACCAATCGCAACTATGAGTCAAACAGTGCAAATCCAAACAAGGGGGTATCCAACGGCTCTTGGAACACTACCATTTGCGTGGGAAACTTCTAGTAGCTCCTTGTCTCCCCATTTAGCACGGGATTGAGATACCCATAGCTTACCATATTTTATCCTTCCAACCAATGGCTAGAACATTATGCCGAGTCTCTTTCTTCGAACATTGCTGTGCTTCATTGCTCGTAGCCTGCAACCAAAGAGCGAATACAGGGCAAAGAGTGTATCTGAAACAAAACCCTTGAGAAAGGCATTCAACATCAGATCAATCAATGCCCTTTGCAGGGCCTCAATTTGGTACATCGAAGTAACCAAAAGTGACGCGTCCTAGGGTGTCCCCTCGCCATGATTCCTCAGGATCAGGCACAAAACATGCGCAACATGTTGTTTGCACAACGCGCCAAACGCTACATGATGCCACATGCATTGGCAAGTTGAACTGAAGAGAATCCAAGTTTCCTTTGACCCAGCGCATGGCATCTTCGTCTACAAACGTGTGTTGGAATCTCGGGTTCACTCCTTAGGTATCCACATATCCATCAACTAGAGTACAAATTACACTTGCGCAAGCACATTGCCGCTCGCACACTTCCTGTGAATATGACAAAGGGAAAATAACATTGAATTGAGCCATCAAATCCCCAGCCCAAGTTGCGGTATTTCAGACTCTCTTTACATATGTGGATCAGTGCCTTAGGAGATGCCAGCCAGGTCTGGCCAGCAAAGTAAAACCAAAAACATGAAATCGTCTTTAGGTAAAACAAATCTACTTTGGAAGCACAGGGTTTAGTTGCAGGTTAGTTGCATGGATTTTTGGCTTCATGAGCCAGCAGCTTTTCCCAAGCCTGCACTGGCTAATGACTACAGGGATCGGTTTTGCTAAATATGAGATCGATCTATAAGATAGTGGATCATAAAATAAGATGTTGAATCACAAACCACCCCACGCCTCACATGTTCGACGCACAAGGCCCGATACATATCCACAAAGCGGATACCAGCATTGTGAAGCGACTCCGCCGCATGTCTTGTCCTTGACGCAGCCAGTGTTGGCCATGCATGAGTCAAAACCACATGCTGACTTTTGAATATGTTGCGGAAAAATATAATATAGAAAGCACGGTGTTTTAATATACTTTGGAAGCACAGGGGTTAACATGCCTGCATGCATGCGATAGATAAGATTGTGTGGCTTGTATATAAGGTTGCATGTGCACGCCTTGAAAAGTTTCACGTTCCTAGCATTTTTTTGAAAATACCAAATGATAACTAAACTTAAACTTATATAGTTCTTGATATTGCTAGTCTAGACAATTCTCATGTTGGTGTTTGACTTTGACATTCCATGAGCTAAAATTCCATGGCATCCCACTTCCCTTCTCAACGCCGGCATGTTGCAATTTGCGACCATGGACCTCCATGATCGAAAAGAACTTCGCCAAATTGCTCCTTGGCAGAGCGGGCAGCGGTGTCTTGAGGTTGGGGTGAGGATGGCATGATCAGGCCTAAGGGTTCAATAACTGATCTGAAATCGCAGAGTATAAAAGCGTGGTTGATTGGTTCAAAAAACTGAGCGACTACTGAACAACCAAATCACACGACAACCCAGATCAACCAAGTTTCATCGCAACACTGGTAAGAACCAGGATTTGATGGTCAGGGTTTCTTTGCACAGCATCTAGCAAGCAATGGTTCAGCCACATGACAATGACTCTACCATTGAACGCCTTTGCAGTCAAAAGGATCTCACCAGTCTTTTTCTTTACCTTAGCAAGTGGCAGGCACAGTACGTGGCAGGCACAGTATGTGGCAGGCGCAGTATGTGGCAGGCGCAGTATGTGGCAGGCACAATGACAAACAATGAACGTTCTGGATGAATCTGGAGTTTTGGGAGATACCTAACCGGCGCGTAATGTTGCAAAATCCAGTTAAAAAAACATGTCAACTTAACAGATCAGGTGACCATTTTGGGAACAAAGGGCGGCTGCGAGTGTTGGATGCGACGATGGCGGCAAAAAGCCACAAAATGTTTGTACCCAGCATCCAGCTGGTCACAGAAGTCTCCAGCACCAAAATATTGGAGCTCTTCAGCCAGCAGGACCCTCAGCGTGAGCAAGGTCATTGTATGTCAACGCCATGCTCCATTTAAATCCAAACAATTTTAAAATATTGAACTGCAACTTCCATGGGATGGGGAAAAACCACCACCAAAAAATTGAAACAAAACAGCTCCCCAATTTCGAGATTCAAACTTGCACCATTGGCCGCGAACACCAACCCCAGATTTAGTGTATGCATCGTGCACCACCGTAGGAGCGAAGGATGCTGAAACATTGACAGAGTCAACAATGGGCCTCAGTGTGAGGCTCATCCCAAACAGGAAATCCTTGAAACAAATCAGTCAAAAAACGCACCCCTAAAAGAAAGAAACTATGGAGAAAACCCAAATTTTAACCCAAACGATGTTCAATCAGCTCAGGCACACAAATTGTTGTCTCTGAGCCTGCGTGAAATAAAACCATTCAATCCAAACTCTTCAGACTCCCAAGTGCAATCATCACCATGGTTCCAATAAAGATTGCCAACTTGGTTGCTTTTTGCCTCTGCTGGGCATCGGAAACATATCTTGTTTGATTGCCAACTTGCTGTTGGTCTCCAACAGGTAACGTGCCATTCCCAGTCCCCACGTAACTCCGTCAATGCCCACTTGGCACCTGATCGAGACAATGGTTGACCTGCACAACGTTGCTCGCGGCCTTGCAGTGGTTTACCACCAGGCCTAGCGGTAGGGTGAAGTCCTTGAAATGCAGCTTCTAGAGACCAAACAATGCGTTTCCATACAGCGTTCAAAGTTCGATTCTTGAACACCTTGTGGGCGGGACAGCTGAAGACACACCATCTTGAAAATCGTACTGACCGTGGCCGAAAATGGCAGATGTTCAAATGAATCGCGATTACTTTTTCAAATTTTTCTTGCGACCACAGTCTCGCTGCATCTCCATGCAGTCCAATTGGTATGTGTTTCTCAGTCGCTGGGGACGTAATAACCCAGGGCTGGCCATGTCTGTGACAATGGCGCCAATACTCTGCGATTTCAGCTTCAGATACTTCAATACCCACATCATTCCATAAATAGGACAGAATTTCATGCGGGTGCAGAATCGGGTACAGCTCCAAAGAAAGGCCGCTCGAAGTCTTCTCATTTTTCACAGGGACTCTGACTTGATGGATATCCTTAGGTCGATCGGGGACATATAATATTATTATAATATACATTATAATACTGATCACTGTGGGCTCACCCATGTTGAAAAAAAGGTGTGAAAGCGGCAGTGATCCCACACACGCTCACTAGTATCTATCCTGGTAAGTGCATATGCATTATTAATCATCATAACATAGCGCACTACAAAAGTTATAAGTACTATAGCATTTGGTAATTATGCAGATTCCAGAGAAGCCATACCAAATCACGAAAACCATTGGAAATCAACCATTTCAATCTATGCGATGACTCCCACGAAGACGAAGCAGCATTAAACGATTAAAGTACTTGGTACTAAAGCCATTGGGTTTCCATACTACTTGATAAAATGATCAGTCAATACTTTCTTGGGTTTGGGTTTCCATGCCCCCCACAACCAACAGTACCAAGATGCAATGGGGACATCAGCATATCGCCAAAAGTCACGGGGGTCATTCTTTCCAGAGCGGCTGCCAAGCGCAACAACATCAGGGTGGCAAGCATCTCCACATTCCTCGGGCCAAAGACTTGAGAAGGTCTGAAGCTGGATGGAACATGGGAAGTTTCAAAGTAATGAGGGCTCATGTTGATGACAAAATCTTGCACCACCTCAATTCAGAAAATTAAAGGCTTAAAGGTCCATTACTTGGTGCAAGATTTTGCCCATCAACTGCGTATGACGTGCTATGACATGGCAAATAATTATATATAATTATTATACATCATCCAAATTTAAAATATGAGTTTGATCTGATACTGTATGACAGGACATGATTTGAGAGATTGATTTAACATATAGCGTGATAACGATAAATTGTCAAGATAATATGGGAAGAATAAACAATTCAACACCAAGATATGTTTGGAATCCAGGACGCATGATATGAGAAAACAAGATGATATGAAACCAAGCCAAATAAAATCAACTGATATGACCCAGAGGCCAGTGGGGCGTGAGTATGGCAGGATACCACTAAGAGATGCCACGGTATGAAGTAAGGCATGACCTAATAGCCAACGTTATTATACCAAACTATCATTTGACTTTCAACACTCATAAACTCGTACATATGCGATGTAGCGATCGATATAAAAACGAGTTTGAAAGATTGAAGATTTTTCAAACATTATTATTTCCAGACTTGAAAATAATGGACACTTGACAAATAGCACATGGCAACAGCGGATCAACAATGATCTTTAAAAATAGACTGTTCAGGTAGCAGTGTCTAAATATTACATCGGTTCCATCGATGGCAACCAAGGAACTTCGACCTGGTTTCGGACACGAACCATCACCTTCTTGATTGAAGTCGCCTGGCAGTGAGAAAAAAAATGGGAAGAACTAGAAGTAAGCCCATCCCCTGCCAAAGGGTCGTCAAAGGGGGTTACCCAGATTGATAAGAATTGTTGAATAAGATGTAAAGTGTGTTCTTGAGTGTTTTGGTCAGGGTAGGTGCTGAAAACCGATGCCCCGAATTCAAGAGTTCACCTTGGAATGCTACATTTTTTTGGGTGCCAACTATATATAAAAATATAAAATAATTACATGTAATTACTATTTTCCCAAATCAATTCTTGACTTGTACCCCAACCAAGGCGCCCATGATTGAGCCAAAGGACGCCAGCTGCCACATCGTCCATGTGGCCATGAAGGGTGATTGGATCTCGAGGACCTGCGCATGTGCGACATTGGCTTATTGGTTACATGATGGTAAAAAGTGCTAGATACCTGAAAGGATATCAAATGATATGGCATGATATAATATAACACATGATACGTGATGATAAATGAAATATATGATCATGATTATATGATATGATAAGATATGATAAGATATGATATGGTATGAACAGAAATGATATGATATGAAAGGACATGATACGATGGTGTCATAATGTAGTGTGACAGCATTCCTCATACATGATGTTCTGACCTGGTCAGATTTAGCCATTGCCGCCATGTCATTTTCACAGCGGTCGCCATCAAATCATGTCAAGTCGACCCCAAGAGACAAGATTACCCTAAGTCTAAGTTGACGGGTCGAACACTAACCCAGCGAAAGCTGAGACTGTTGACCTCACAACGACACCCCGGGATTGTGGGTGAATCATGTCCATGGTAGGTCCAAAAGTCGCGCTATCACCAAGGTTTCGTGCCCCAAGAAGTTTGATTGAATCATTGGCCACAACTTTGAAGTTGTTGAGCTTGAGGAAGGAGTTCGATAACAACGAGTATCTAGTAAGTTTGTGAATCCTGAAATCAGTGTAAATCAAAATGACATTGGACTTGGGCACTCCCTGGCCATGCCTAACGCTTGTCCCCAATACATGTGATAAAGCCGGCTTCAAATTTATCCTGGTCAGCCGCTTACTTAATGTTGTAAGCTGTGAGACAACGTGTGAAATCCGCTACGCAATCCTCACAGGATTTTGCGTCTTCCAGAAGCGTCCCCAGCGAATCCACCTGGAGTTTCATGGTGGCATGGAAAAATGGGTGAACATGGTCACAACAAGTAGATTCAATCAGTAGCTGATTGCTGTTCAAAATAAATTAATACCTTGAACATCCTGGTAACCTGAGATCATGAGATGAGCTGTACTTTTGTGATACCATGTAATTTACCTGGTTGATAGTTCATATGAACAAGAGAGGATATCTATCCCTGGATCCATCCACCTTCGCAGCATCAACAGATTTCTGCAACTTGTTGCGATCGCCCTTCATCTTTGCAAGATGGGGCTTGACTTCCGCCATGATTGCCGTCACCACTGATGAACTCCTGTGAAACCATGAGGTGGGTAACTAGGATGTGGACACATTTCAAAAAGTTGAGCTGATCGATATGCATGGATTATCATGGATTTATAAGTCATGTGTGTTTTCCTTTGGTCGTGGGGTGGTCAGACCCTCTGGCCAACAAGACATGCAAAATTAATGACACGATCATATGAAATATCAAAACCGATAACCAGGAATCCATCTTGGCTTTGGATCATGGGCAGCAATTCAAGGATTCAAAGCTCCCAGAACCGAACTTGTAATGGGTATACTGTGCCACCACCCCAACCAGTTGCCCAACCACTAGCAAAACCAAGGAGCATGTTTCGAAGTTTGTCATCGAGGGTCGAAGCTTTGGCAATCTGGGCATTGATCTTGGACAGAGCCTGCATGCAGGAGTGATGGGCACGGTGTGTGTGGTGAAGACTGGTTTAATCATGTTTAATCTGGTTTACACCATGGGAGGCCCTTCTAGCATTCGATCCTTCATTGGCTATATAAGCCCAATGTCGACAATGTGGCAGCCATGGTGGTTGGACATCATCAGCCGGCCAACCCAGCCGGCCAACCCAGCCTGATTCCCCTTTCGCACGTCTTTCTTGAACGCATCTTTCGTTGCCTTTTCTTTTGCCTTTACTTCTTTCTTCTTTTCTTCATCTGCTTCCTTTTCCTCACGCTTCCTTCGCTGTTCAGAGGTTTCTCGTTCTTCAGATTCAGACTCAGACTTTGACTTGGATTTCTTTGCACCTTTCTTGCCCTTAGCATCCTTAGCAGCCTTCGACTTCTTTGCCTGTTTGGCAGTCTTCTTGTTGTTTTTCTTTGATTTCTTCTTTCCCTGCATGTGTGCGTGCAAACATGCATGAAATACAACGATGTGGCTCTGTCACATCATGAACCAAACAAAAGCTAAACAAATGGTGGGCGCGTGTATGAAGAAGGGCTGACTGCGGTGAAATGAAGGATCCATTGAATAAAATAACAGTTCTCGATCTATCGATCTACACGATGTATTATCGATTGTATTGATGATCTGTAGGTGTGATCATGGTGTGATATGGACAGCTTAAGTCTTGCGATGTGCCTGGGAAGACGAACTTGAGTCGCTGGACGTCTTGGAGCTGGAGTCACTGCTGTCACGGTCAGAGCTTGACGAAGAAACTTTCCTTTTCTTCTTGCTTTTGCCTGCATCCTTTTTGGCCTTCTTCCCTTTCTTTCCCTTGGTCCTGGAGCGGCCTCTTTGTGGCTCATCGATTTCTGCTGCCTCGAAAAGGCTCGTCGTGACATGGTCAACAGTTTCTTCAGTTCCATCGCGATCCCAGATCAAGTACTGGCGAGTCTCCTGGGCACAAACCACATCAAAAGGTTTGGGTCGGGTTGACCATGATTTGCTACAAGAATCAACTTGGTGACCAGCTAGTGTATCATCGATCTTTCTGTCTAAATCTATGTCATATTGAATTGTATAATCGAATGTATCTCTATGTAAATAAGATATAATAATATAATATAATTAAGATCTCATTCAATAATCCATTTTGATGTTGAGATAGCATCGATCTATAGAGATCCCGAGATCAGCCTGCCAAGTCGATAAGGTGGTTTCTCTTGACCTCTGTGTTTGGTGATAAGAAAAAGATAGAATAGAAACCAAACAACATCAAATCACATATCATAATCCGATTCACCAAGAATCATCAGTGTCCAAACCATGGAGGTCAGGATTTGGTCGCACATGGGTCTTGCAAATCTCAGGGTCTGTAGCTTTAGCTGCAATCATCTGGTCAGCTACTTCATTGGATCCGAACCGAGTGATGATCTCCGACCGACACATCCACCTGCGCGTTCCTATGGTCCTGTTCTTCTTTTTCTGAACCACCTGCAGATAGAATTCACTTTGGGTCCACCTGCCACTGCTGGACGTCCACTGTTCTTGGAGAATTTGGAGCATCCCTGAATCTCTGAACGCCGCCCTGCCAGCCCGGCGTATCTCAACTGGAGTTTTGGGGCCTTAGGAGGAACAGTGGAGAAGAAAAATTGGCAATCACATGGTTGATATTCGGTTGACAAATGGCCGCAAAAAGATGAAAAATATATAATTTTAAAAAATAATATATTATTATAATAGTACTTGTGAGTTCAGGATGCCCATTGAAGTTGAATGAATGTTAACACATGCTGGAAGATAGGACGATCGTGTTTTGGAAAACTGGAACTGCATTCAGAAATTTGATTTGGAAAAGTTGAACTGAACCCAATTGGTTCCTATTCAAAACAACCTGAAACCTGTTAGCAACTCTTGATGCATCACGTTCTTTGGAAACCATCTTCATCAACCACCCACCCCAGAAAGATAAACCAAGCGACTGCGGAGAGAACGGGAAAAGCGCATATAGCGCGCATGTGCTTCCCGCTTGACTCGTGCCAATTCGTCTTTCTTCCTTTCCTCAGAGTCTTCTGAAGAATCTTCATCGTCAGAATGGTCGGGACTGCCAGGTGGGCTTGGAGGCTTTTTGCCTGCAGGTGCTGGACCACCACCATTTGAACCCCCTGGACTCACTTTGACAACCTCAGGTTTATCCTTTTTCTTTTCATCCTTGTCCTTCAGTTCATCCTTTTCCTTCTCCTTCGTATCACCCTGCTTCGTATCCTTCGTGTCGTCCTTCGTCTTCTCTGCGGGGCCGGGGTTCTTCTTCGCCTTTTCTGGTTGGCTGGGACAGGAAGAGGTATTCTTGGGCTGGGTCTGCCGAGGTGTCTCAGGAGGCACTATGTCCTTGGTGGATGGTCTTCTCAAGCAATCCTGGACTGCTCGAGCTGTATCTGCAGACCCTGAACTCTCTGTCTTTGGCGGCACTGCCTTTGCCTTCACTGCAGTGGCAACTTTCTCACCATCTGTGTTGTTCTTCTCTTTCTTAACTTTCTTCACTGCCTTTTCACCATCTGGTTCTAAGACAGGCTGGCTCTGAATCTTTCTGTCAAGTTTTCCCTTGGGGTCTGTGGGCTTCTCAGGTTTCTCTTCTCTCTGCTCGGCTCTGGCCTCTTGGGTCCCCTGGGCTGCCATGGCCTTCGCATCTGGAGTAGAAGCTGGAATCGTAGTAGCATCCGAATCTGGCAGAGTCAGGAGGCTAATTGTTGAATCCATGTTGGTTCAACTGTCATGATTCTGACATGACACATTCCCAAAAAAATCAGTTGATCACATTTGGATGATACCCATGATTTGAAGACGCTCCATATTCGAACCATTAAATCCAAAGACCGAGCCAGAAAATTGGAACATGGGTGGCTTTTCATCCAAGAACCTAGAGGGGTTGAAAGTCTTCATGGGCCATTTGTTGCGAGTGCATTTTTTATTATATTGTTTTCCAACCCAAAAAGGTGAACACTCACCAAAAATAGCCCATGAAGACTTTCAACCTTTGCTGGAAGGTGTTGCCTATCAGTATCGTGCAGGCGCCATAGACTCTAAACATAAAATCACAATTGGAACTGGCAGGAACGCAACAATCATAAGTACTGACTCTTAGGAATGATGTCATTGGACCCTTCTTTGAAGAAGATATTACAGCAAAAAGGGACCAACGATGAAATAACAATGATCACATAGATGGTATGACGACCCCACGACTTCCACGCAGGAGGATGTGGCATCATGCTCTATCGACCTCCGCTTGGCTGGCTTGGTCTTACCCAGGCCGGCCAACCAGCCTGCTTCAGGTGAAACTTTCTTCAGTCTTTTCATAGGCCTGGCGATGCTGAGACTTATCCCCATGTTGATACAAATTGGGAACATAGTGTAGCATGATCAAACATGTGCTCGATTGGTTGAATGAATTTCACATGTTGTGGTTATACATCCAAATTCATCAGAATGAACGATTTCAAGTAACCCATCCAGGCCTCTGATTGGATTCTGAAGGTTCCCCTTCAGCCACAGAAACACGTCCGGCCCGTCTCTGGGCCCGGGCCAGCACATCTGCCACGTCAGTGCCAGGCATCCTATTGAGTGCCTTCACCCTCTATTGAATCTGAAGTGGCTGCCTGTCGGAGTGTTTGGTTGATGCCTGCTACTGGAAGATCCCCAAAATATTGCAAAAATGATCGATTTTGAGGGCGATTTTGGGGTTTCGTCTTTCACGCCTAAAAACCTACTTTCACGCCTAAAAACCTCCTTTCACGGTTTGTTCACGCTCATTCACGGTTATTTCACGGTTGCCTCACGGTTGAAAAAATCTCGTTTCATGCCGTTTCGAATCACATACTTTTGAATTGACGCCGAAAGTGAGCAGCAATTTGGCACTCCTTGGTAACCCTGGTGCATCAATTTTTCAAATAATGAATTGACACCTATGTGTGCTGGAATCTTCATTTGATAATTTATTTCAAAATTCATCTGATAAGATCAATTATCTCGAATAATTTAAATATATAATCCATTCCAGGGCCACCCAGGTACACCAGCAAATTAAATCTTGAATTAGCTAGGGCCTGACTCCGTTCGGCCAGACATGGCCAGACCACATGTTCAGTTCAGTCGTCATCTAGGCCAACTGAGAGAATCGGGTGATACCTTCCACAATCTCGCTCAGACTTCAAGAAGTCACGCATCTGTGTCAGAGATGCGTGGCGCCACTTATATGGCACCTCCCAAGATTCAATCAGACCACTCAAACATGTTTGGCACAGTGGGTTGATTTTTGATCGGGCATTTTATGATCATGATGTTTCACGGTTTCACCAGGGTACCAATCTAATTTAAAAAACATCAATTTCAGAAGACCCATGAGGTATCATGAGATATTTGACAGAAGCAGTCACCAAAGTACTTCGGAACAGCCAGATCCCAGCTCGGCCATGCCTTGCCCACCTTTTGAATCAGCGGGTCCACCAAGCCACCCACAGATGGATAGATGGAGTTTCGGATGTTCTTCAGGTTGTCTCGGTCTGCCTCAGAGACAAGCAGCTTGAGGAGGGGACAGTGTCAGGGAGGGAGCGTGCATGATATGATATCCACCATGTGTGATATAATTTAATCAATAGTTGCTGTTCGGGCACCATCCAATCAGTGTGCATCTTGCAAATGGCTTTCCCATATCCATGAGGGTACACTTGCGATGCCCGGAGTTGAAATGGATCACCGACCCTCAGCGGAGAGCTGTACATGTGTAGGAACTGCAGGATGTGTGGAAATCAAGACAAATACATATACATGACTCAAAAGTCATCATGATGATTTTGTTCACTTTGATTGATGAGTTCCATATTGAAAGACTACCACCCTAAGTTCGGTACACTCGGGTCTGGCCCTTCCCATCCACATACTTTCGGGTTGTGGCCTTGTTCTTTTTGATCCGACGTCTCACAGCCTTCGTGATCTTCTTTTTCAGGCGATATCCCCACGTACTTAGTCAGCACAGTGGACCGTAACCCTGTATGGTTTGGAATCATGATGGTTCAAATCGCACATGATGATGCATGCATGTGCATGCTTCCACATTCTGAATGTCATATCTTGGGGTTCCCACGAAGAGCCAAAGACCACAGTCGGCTTCATATTTTGATGTCCATAAGAGCACATATGACTTAGTTCCGGAAGTCACAATCAAATCGAAGTATTTGAAGGATACTTGCACAATTCTCACCCATATACAGTATGGCGGCCAAAGGCTAAGTAGCCAACAATCGAGTCGTCAACCATGGCCAGAACAGGCTGATGGTCTGAGATAACCAAACGAAGTATGGAAAATATACCATCATCGTGCTTGATGGTTGCTCAACCAGACTCTGCGCACAGCGGACAAACGCCAGGAGGAGCAACAAGCAAAGGCGACATGTGATCCTGGGCGATGTGACAGGTGAGGCTGTTGGTGAAAAGGTTTAGTGAAGTCAAAAGTGGAAATACCCAGAAACAAATTACAGTAACCGATGATGACCATAATACCAACCACATAAGACAAGAGTCGTGTTCGCCCGTTTGACGTATTCCAAGCGAGCCCCCAGTGGTCGCATTCTTGACCGTTTTGATGTGCCAAGATTGAGAAATACGAAACTTCCACATGGTGGACCCGCTGTAGCGAGCCCACCCTCTTTCAATCGTAACACCAATTGAATGCTCTTCAGGAACCCTTGCCTTAGCTACTAATCCATGGGTTCATGCATGTGTATACATCTTTCCACAATGAATCATGAAGCCTGGTGCGTTGATATCCCAAAGCTTGACCCACTAATGACACTAATGCTCCAAGACCCTAACGGCGTCAAGATGTCACCCTCATCTCCCGAAGTTGCTACATCAAAAGGTTTCCTGGGCCGGGTGCAGGACAGAACGATTATATTATATAATTCCAAGTTTGCTTTGAACAATGTACAGTTGAAAACACTGGTCATAGATGCCAAAAACGCAGAGTTGTTTTGAGGATGCCACGATCTCAGGTTCGCATTGACTTAGTTGGGATCAAAGATCAAGAAACAATGAGATCCATATCGTATGAAGACAACCTTTAATATTGAGAATGACATAAAATAAATAGAATGAAATACATGAGCTTCGCACTGTAGGCAGAATGGATGGCTCCCTTCCCAGAGAACAAATCGACATTCACGAGGTCCTTAACTTTCCGGAAACATGGTATTAACCCTAACCCAGATGCTCCATGTATGGAATATTTACCTACATTTGGGCCATTTTTGGGGTAAATGTAGTTAAATAATATTCCATACATTGAGCATCTGGGTAATGCATGCGGGCATGTACATACTCGAAAGTCTAAGTTGGAAGCTCTGGCTGAAGAAGAGTTCTCGACCACGTAGTCAATGCAGTGCAAACTTAGATGTTGAAAAAGCAACCCATCAATTCAACTGAATCTTAATATTTCTGATCGCATCCATGCATGATGTATGTTCCCATCCAAGTCCACCAGGCAGCAAGATCAGCGGCGCTCCCAGGAGCACCAAAAGTTGGGATGCTCTCGTTGACAAGGCCAGGGAAGCCATCAAACCAAGAGACCCGGAGCTCAGGTGAGTTATTAATGAAACAATGAAATATCTAACACACTAATTTGTTTTCATACCGCGGTCCCTGTTGACCTTTCCAAGATCCAAGATGCTGCACTTAAATCAAGTAGTATGGATTCAGGCCCAACAAGACCATGCAATTTTGTGTCCATGAAGCTATTGTTGAATATTGTTGAAACACAGGAACAAAACGCATAGAGCGACTCAATGCACGTGTTTTCACACCGCGGTCCCCGTTGATCTTTCACCATTTAAGGCCATGTGTAGTCACACGCACCAGCAGAGCTAGCCAGGGGTCAATCACACGATATGCATTGGCATCCCATCCAGTAATCCAACATGGCGAACAAAAGGTAACTGACTAATCATCAAACAATTGCTACTATTATATGTGGTATCAATCATGTGTAGTTCAGACTGCTCATGTAGGTTTGGTTTTCGTTCTTTCAACTGATATTGTAGGAAGGAACCATGGCAAGGAGTTGCCTACGAATCCCAGCCCCCCACGTGCCAGCTACCCGCAAAAGGGTTTAAATCACTCTAAGATGAGTCTTCCTCATCCGAATTTGAAACACCATCTTCAGCTTTGACTTCGATCCATCCAGCCAAGGACATAGCTAGGGTCCACCTAGGCAGTAACCATGTTGGTCAGGACTGTTGAGGACTGATGATGATGATGATGATGATGTATCATGATATATAATGATGAACTTTTCCCAAGATTGTCCATTGTTTAAACAATCGTTGAAAACGATTTCAATCTGTTTAAGTCAGTGACCCAATAATGCAGCCATGCTTTGTCCATGACAAGCTGACTCCACGACGAACATTGGCCTTGGATGTGGCAAAGGGTTGTAGAACATGGAACCTCATATCGATCCATATGGGTTCGGCTCATGCATTATATATTGATTCTGATATCGATCCAGAGCCCTGAATTTTCATTCTCAGAAAGTTATATTATTTATGAAATGAACTTCAGAGCTAGTCACATTGAGTGGACAAGTCGGCGCCAACACATCATTCACCTTCTCGATTCGCTGTTTG